ATGAGAAAACCAAGATAGCAGTTAGTCTTAGAATTGAGTGTAGAGAAGTATAAAATTTGAACGGCCCCGATCTGCCATGTTGTTGTTGTGGCGGATAAGGGGGGGCCATTAGGAAAACCTCCGTATCTACGATTTTAGCTAACGCGAATCCGGGGGCCCGGGGAGGCCAGGAAGGCGTCCCCAGTGAGCTCACGGTCCCCCAGAGCTCAGGAAAAGGTTTAGGGTGAGTTAGAAAGGCTGCAGTCAGTAAAAAGACACAAAGTATCATGCGGAGAGGATTCAAAGTTTCAAAACTTAAGTGTTTTATTGAGGGATTGGTTACAAAGATAGGGAGAGGGGAAAGTGAAAGAAAACTTCGTGCAGTTCTTTGCTTTGAGCTGCTGGCTGGGGCGCGTTCCGTCAGTCGGACCCAACTTTGCTCTACGGAACTGCGGAACTCCCTGCTGCGCTTCAAACCAACTTGAAGGCGGGAGACTCCGCTACCTGGGGGGTCATCAATTGTAGGTGAACTATACATCCCAGTAACTACAACTCGCATATGTCAAGGTCTATTTTCCCCCAAGAGCGCCTCAAGAGCGCCCCTGGGCAAAATCAACTCTACCGCAAAGGCTTACTTTGCGTAATGGATTGAGCCGCCCCTGCAGAAAATCCCATAATATCTGCGTTAAACTGGGGGCCGTTCCACACATCCCTATATCCCAGAATATCAAGACAGGAAATCCCACATTATATAAGTGTGGACTCATATAACCCAGTTCTAAGCAGATATTGTGGGATTTTCTGACTTGATATTCTGGGATATGGGGCTGTATGGAAGGGCCCTGCATTATCTGAGTTCACATTGCCATATATTCCAGTTCAAAGCAGATATTGTGGGATTTTCTGCTTCAATATTTTGGGATATATGGCTGTGTGGAAGGACCCTGAGAGGCCCCTTCCACATAGCTGTATAAAATCCCACATTATCTGCTTTGAACTGGATTATAAATTAGTGTGGACTCAGATAACTCAGTTCAAATCAGATATTGTGGACTATTGTTTTTAATTGCCCTATACTTGTCTCGTGATGTTTTGTATCGATGTTGTTCACCGCTTTGAGTCGCCTGAGGGCTGAGAAAAACGGTATATAAATTAAGTAAGTAAATAAATAAATAAATAAATTATCTGTCTTGATATTCTGGGTTATATCGCTGTGTGGAAGGGCCCTGAGTCCACACTGCCATATAACCCAGTTCAAAGCAGATAATGTGGGATGTTATACAGCTGTGTGGAAGCGCCTACGTAATCCGGGTTAAACTAAAGTGGGGAAAAACCAAAATCCTGAGGCCCCTTCCACACAGATGAATAAAATCCCACATTTTCTGGAATATACGGCAGTGTGGACTCAGATAACCCAGTTCAAAGCAGATATTGTGGCATTTTCTGACTTGATATTTTGGGTTATATTGCTGTGTGGAAGGACCCTGAGTCAAGAGCTAGGAAAAACTGTAGTAGATGATGTTACAACAGAATTTTGAAGCTAACTCAAGTGAGATATGAATCCTGATTTCAAGAGGAAGAATTTATTTTAGTTTCATGGTTTGGGTCATTTTAATTGGTTTATGTCAGTTTATTGTTAATTGATTAGGGGCCCTTCCACAAAACCATATAACCCAGAATACTAAGGCAGAAAATCTCATAATATCTGCTTTGAACTGGGTTTTCTGAGTCCACACTGCCATATGTTCCAGTTCAAAGCAGATATTGTGGGATTTTCTGCCTTGATATTCTTGGTTATATGGCTCTGTAGAAGGACCCTAGATTCTCGCTTAAGTTTTCTGAGAGTTGAAGAGCACTTTCTACATCTGTACATACATAAAGTAAACTGAATGAACCAAAATACAGCCTGCTGGAAGTCATTCAATAATTCTTTGTCTTAGAAATTAGATGCATAATTGTGTGTGTGTTACAAAGCATTGTAGATTTGTCTATTATCCAAAGAACCAGGTACAGATATCTTCATTTGTAATAGGGCTTTGTGGATCCTCTTGTACCATCCCCTGTCCTCTAACATTGTTTGACAAGAGTTGTATGGCCCTCTTGAGCATGATTCCCTATGCAACATTTTCTGCTTTTAGAAAGAGAACCTGGAAATCTCTCCTCCAGTGAGTAGAAACGTTTCCTGGAGCTCAGGCTCATTGGATCTGAACACTAGGTCAGAAAATCTTGAGTTCAAACCACAGTTAAGCATCTTAGTGTGGACCATTTATACAGAATGGGGGACGCCTGACTCAAGAACAGTACGTGTGAAAAAGATCTTGGAGTCCTCGTGGACAACAAGTTAAACATGAGCCAACAATGTGATGTGACAGCAAAAAAAGCCAATGGGATTTTGGCCTGCATCAATAGGAGCATAGTGTCTAGATCTAAGGAAGTAATGCTACCCGTCTATTCTGCTTTAGTTAGACCACACCTGGAATATTGTGTCCAATTCTGGGCACCACAATTCAAGAGAGATATTGACAAGCTGGAATGTGTCCAGAGGAGGGGAACTAAAATGATCAAGGGTCTGGAGAACAAGCCCTATGAGGAGCAGCTTAAGGAGCTGGACATCTTTAGCCTGAAGAAGAGAAGGCTGAGAGGAGATATGATAGCCATGTATAAATATGTGAGAGGAAGTCACAGG